ATATAAACAAAAAATCTGAGAATTGAAAAGAAACTATCATTTTTCTCCTCTGTAACAGACTACATAGTAACAGTAATAAAAATCAACAAATTCTTAGACCTAATAAAACAGTCTATGAGGACTTCTAAGTAGAATATCCATTTATAAAACTCAATTACTTTTATCAGCCCCAAAATATGATAGTACAAATATATATCTGTACATGCATGTATGTGTGCAGATAGCTAGATATGTAGACAGATTCAAGCTACCATTTACAACAGCACTGACATCTATAAAATGCTTAGAGTCAGGAATATATTTCCTAATAAAAAAATCATCACAAGTTTTATGAAGAAAGCTTTAAACTTTACTGGAACCGTAAATGATGACCTAAATAAATAAAAAAATAAAGTGTGTGTATAAATGGGAGCATGCAGTGGGACAAAGATCTCTTTTCTCTTCAAATACATCTATAAAGTCAATGAAATTAGAATCATAATCTTTACAGGCAGTTTAAAAATGAAACTTAAAATTCACATGAAAGAGCAAAGAGGTCTCCTTAGCATAGATCTGTAGTATAAATCAAGAATTCGACTTCTGTAAAAGTATGGAAGTTAAAATAGACTGTGATGGATACAATTTAAAAAAAAATTGACCAATGAACCAAGATGAGCCATAAACAAACCTGTCTAAATCCTGAGTGACATATGGCGAGGGAGGCGTTAAAACTCGGTAGTGAAAGAATTAAGTACTCCAGACGTAATGCTGGGCAAATGGTTCATCCGTATCTGAAGGGGGCAAGGTGGGGGGCGGGGGGGAGAATAGTCCTAACTTACATCATTTTAAAAACTACATTGCACATTATTGAAGCCATACATGTGAAAATAAATACCTTAAAACTATTCAAAGGAAATAGAGGAGACTATTTTACGAACTTCCAGTGAAGAAACATTAATTCAACAAGACATGAAAAGCACAAATCATGAAGGAAATGATTTAAAATTCTACTCTATAAAGCAGCATAAACAAAACAATAAGAGTCACAACCCAAATGATTAAATGATAATGATAGCAATAATAGAAACAACCTAGGTATCTATCAAGAGACGAATGGCCAAATAAAGTGTGGCATGTTCATGCAGTAAATTTAAAATGGCACTCCGAATCCTGTGAAAGAAATCAGAAATGATAATAATAATCATGTTTCAGGTGAAGTGGTAAAATTTTAGCTCCAAACATAGTACTGGCAGGGAGTTTCCGGCTTGCTGATCCCATCACCAAATGAGAAGATTTGGGGTTGGAGGGTGGCTTTGGATCAAGATATTCTCATGGTGTTGGCAAGACCAGAAAAGGGAGCCATAGAGGCAGGAGGGCAAGCCAGCAGCTGCTGCAGCCATCAAGGTTGACATGTTGGAGGCGGCTGGGATGCAGAGGGGATGACATACTAGTAGAAGCTGTGGGTGGGAAGAATTGACAAGGCCTGGGGTCTGCCTGGGTGTGGGAGGCATGGAGGGAAAGGAGTTCGAGTGACAGTGTAAGACTTTCCAGATGGTTTTAGGAGCAGCTGAAAGGAACAACTTGAAATAAGCGTCCTACTTTTCAACCAACTATGAAATAGATCCTAACCTCCAGCAAAGCCTTCAGAAGCCATGAGCTGGTCCTGAGAGAATTCTGTTCTACCTGGATCCCTGAGAAAAGAGACCTTGTCCAGCATTCATTTTGACTTTTTAAAAAAAATCTTTATTGTTGAAAGTATTACATGTCCCCTTTTTCCCCCACATTGACTTCTTCTAGCTCTCCCCCGCTCCGTCCCCTCCCCCCACTCCAGGCTTTCACCATCCTATTGTCTATGTCCATGGGTTGTGTGGGGAAGGGTGTGTGGCTGGGAAGAGATCATTTTGACTTTAACTTGGAGAAAATGTCATTTTATCACAAGACTTCTTCAGTGGGAGAACATAATCTCTTTAATAAGTTGTACCCTGATACCCCCTCCCTACCTTTTTATGAAGGGAGTGGCCTAGGCTTCTATGTTCCTCTCTGAAAACAACCCCAGGCTTCTGTGAGATAGTGAAACATGAGCCATGCGTGTGCTGTTGGAAGAAGGAGGGTTATTCAGGTTTCTCTACCAGTCACGTGTGCCATGTAATGCTAGTGGGTAAGGAGGAAGACCGTGGATGGAAGTTACTGGGAGACAGATTTTGGCCCAGGGAAAAATTTGAAAACCAGGGATCCAGAATTTTCAGATGTTGAAATCACCACCTGAAGGGAAAGCAAGCTGCAGGCAGGCACTGAGGGTGTTCTAGCCAAATGACATGACAGACTATCCATCAAACTATGAAACATGTGATAGATGATGGCCCCATCTTCATGGGTTTACCTAATAACCAAGGTTATAGGTAGTTAGTTACCTTTCCATCCATCCCGTCTAGTAAAGAAAATACAGCGGAACTCCAGTGAATGAGAATGTGGACAATTAACAGTCATGGGTTAACATATGTTAACTTTATCATAGGCAGAGCACATATGTGCTTTATATGTGTTCTCATAGTCAGTCTGTAAGAAAACACTGCGACTAATGTGAAGTAGGCTCGGAGCAGAGAAACTCCTGCCTGTGACACAGGAGTAGATGATGAAGTGAGGATGGACACACATTCGCCTGCCTGAGAGTCGTATTTATTGAGAAGGAGGAGGAAGAGGGGAGGAGGAAGACATTAACAAATGTTATTGCAGTGTCTTAAATATTATCAGCCATAAATCATTTGTGACACCCACATCCAAATGCAACACAGTGTCGAGAAGTGCTTTTCACACTCACATGTCCCATTTTCACAGAAGGGTCCCATTTGCTTCAGAGAGTGACCATGTGCCCCCAGTGGCCTGAGATGTAGCACAAAGAAAATGTATACCGTAACATGGTTATATTTGCTTAATATAAAATGGGCCTCCATATTTTAGAGCAGTGGTTCTCAACCTTCTGGCCCTTTAAATACAGTTCCTCATGTTGTGACCCAACCATAAAATTATTTTCGTTGCTACGTCATAACTGTAATGTTGCTACTGTTATGAATCGTAATGTAAATATCTGATATGCAGGATGGTCTTAGGTGACCCCTGTGAAAGGGTTGTTCGACCTCCAAAGGGGTCACGACCCACAGGTGAGAACCGCTGTTTTAGAGCAAAATTAATGAAGGTACTGTAGAATGTATGTCATTTTTATGTTGTGCCTTCATGTATTCCCTGGGAAAAGCCATCTTTCTCCCAGCACACTATTCCAGTTTTAGAAGCAGCATCAGAAGAAGTATACATTCACTAGTGTAGAGGTGGATAAAATATTGACTAAAGTAAAAGAAAAAAAGGAAGTATATAATTATATCGACAATTTAGCATGCCAGAGGTTTACAAGGCAACAGTTACTTATACACTCACCCATAAAATAGCTCAGGATCTTTACGCATTGCACCTGCTTAGTCTTCATTGACAGAATACTAATGGAATCCCCAGGGACTTCTGGTCTACCCACAATATTACTGTCTGCTCCAGCACTGCTAACACAAGTTCTCTTTCAGGTGATAAGCTCAACATTCTTAGGAAGGCTATGTTCCTCACCACAGGTTTTAATGCTCATACACTCCAGCTCATCGTTGTTGTGTTGTGAGTCAGGAGACATTGTCCGTCCATTTCCCCTACACCTGTTATCTCACTGGCCTTATCCAAGCAGCTCCAACCCTAACAACAGCTGAAACAACAGATGGGCAGGAGAACTTGGGATTTTTTAACATCGCCTTCTTGTTTATGAAATCCCCCCCAACTCTGGAATCTGATAGGAATTCTCTTCATTATCATTTTGTGTGTGTGTGTTTCCCCCCATGGCACATTGTTATTATTAATAAGTAAATAATTGATGCTGAGGGAAATGAAAGAAAGGAATAACATCTTCCTTTGACAGTGGTGGAGGAGGAGATGGGGATGGGGATTTGTTCATGTGGAATTGATGTCAAGATGTCTGTGCCTCAGAGGATAACTGACAGTAGCCAGGATCTTTTGATGGCAGGATGAATTCAAGCGGGAAGTCTCAAGGGCTAACTAAGGGAGGGAGGTGATCTGGTGTGAGGGTGAGTATGAGGACGTCAAAATAGGCCTTGAACTAGGAGGCGTTGAGAACAGAGGAGAGATGCAATGGAGGGCAGTTGGAAATCTGGCAGGAACCAGTGCTTGGAATGCCAATGCCTAGTCGGGATCCCTCCTTGCAAGGGATGAGATTATTCAAACAGGCCTGAGCTAGGGATTACAGAAGCAGAACACGGATGTCATGTAATGACATGTGCTTGTAAGTGGGATGCCTAACCTCTCTATGCCTCAGATTCATCATTTATATGTAAAATGAAGATGGAAATACTACAGCACATATAAGGTGGTTTTGATTGTCAAATGAGAAAATATGTGGAAAGCGCTTAGCCCCAGGCCTGACATTCCATTAATGGATGCCGTGATTATCGTTATTATTTTGGTCAGGAGTGAGCAACATAGGAAGGCGGGAGGGAGAGAATTATAAGGAAAGGACTGACGCGCCTGTAATGCGTTTCTGCTCATATCTCCGAATAGTGCAGAAGGATCAGACAATGCCCACCTCTGGCATTGTCATTTCCCGCCTCTGTAGGCCTTTGTTTATCCCATTGACTTTTCCTGGATGGCAGTTTCCCACATGTTCATTATACACACCCTCTGATTCTTACCCACCAGGGTTATTGTAAAGGTTAGCTCAACAACAAAAAATATCTAGTAATATTCATGGGCCTCTGTCCACTGATGCTCATTATTGTTGCTGTGCATTTTAGTGTAACCCATCATGAGTGGAAGAATGCCTTCACCACATCAGACAATAAAAAATACTGGATAACGGAATGTGCATGTATTTCAAAAATAAGCAAGAATTAGAATGTACGTACGGGGGTCAGTGTTGTCTGTCCCCCTCCCCACACTGTGTCTGTATAGCTCATCGTCATCTGTGCATTTTCCAGGGACCTCACTCTTGGCAGTGTGTACCAGTACTGGGTCATCACCATTTCCGGAAGTGAGGAAGGCGAGCCATCGCCTGCTGCTGTATACACCCATGGAAGTGGGTACTGTGGCGACGGCATCATCCAGAAGTAAGTAGATCTCACTAAAGAAAGGGGAAGGGTGGTGCTCATTAGGCCCAGAGATGCTCAGGATGCTGAACAGAAGAACTTACAGGTGCTCTTCTATGTGTGAGCTGTGAGTTAGCTTTGATCCCCAGCAGCCTATCCGTTTGTCTGCAGCGGTTTGCTACTCTCAGAAGAAAAATAATGATACGTTTCGGAGCACATACATTTCTCAAGTATGCAATTGATCTATAATTTTGACAGAGCTGTCATCATGCACTGACTACCAGTATGCTCTTGTCCTTAGTGTACAGATGCATGCCACAGGGATTCTTATATTCTCTCCCATCCCAGCCCACATTGAGCTAGCAGGTCACAGTGCATCTGGGTCAAAGCACTTTTACATTTTTTGCTGGTTACCAGTTACATCTGTTAAAATTCCATATTTATTTGTTATTCTGTTGCATTGTATTATATCAACACTTAACAAAAGGGGTCAAAGGCCCCCTAAAATACCAAAATATTCCAACTCACTGTAATGTTGAAACCATAAATCCAGGACAGTTCTCCAGAGTGAATATTGAATGTGAGCATATGTACCAAGTACATGAGGCAAAGTAGTAAGTGTAAAGATTCCCCACCAGCAGCCAAAGAGGAAAAGTGTGATCAGAAAATACAAAGCTGGATGTCTAAAACATGGATTTAATTGGATATCAGGCCATCCTTGCCCTTGTCCACGGGGCAAGATGTTATGCAACCACAAAATAGGGGCAGGAAGCTATCAAGACTTTTGCATTGTTTTTAAAAAAGTAAACCTTTGAGTTTTTTCCTTCAGAAAAAGTACCAAAAAAAGTGTTTTTCTGGCACAAAATCAAATAGGTTTGTCTCTAGGGGTGGAGAAGAGACCAAAAAGCATTGACAATTAACTTCCTTACTGGTAAAATTGTATTTTCTATTGCTAACCTAGTTGCAAGTCACACTCTTGCTAATACTCTTAAAAGTATTGGCAAATATGCCCGGCCAGCATAGCTCAGTGGTTGAGCGTTGACCTACGAACCAGGAAGTCACAGTTCAATTCCCAGTCAGGACACATGCCTGGGTTGCAGACTTGATCCCCAGTATGGGGTGTGCAGGAGGCAGCTGATCAATGATTCTCTCTCATCATTGATGTTTCTCTCTTTCCCTCTCTTTTCCTCTCTGAAGTCAATAAAAGTATATTTTAAAAAACTATTGGCAGATTTAATGATACACATTATGTGTGGAGATGGCAAAACAAGCTATCGGCAAAATTCCTTCATTAAACGGCACTGCTGGGTGTCCCATAATATCTGTGCGACATGCAACTGCAATGACTGTTTCTGCAGGGGGAGGGGCTGTAAAGAATTTATTTCACAGTTGAATGAAGCCACTGATGTGCAGAACATGCATCCGCTCATAGGCGTAGCACACATACGAAAGAGAAGCGCTGGATGGCTATTTCCTTCAGTTCATCATTGACACCAGTGCTGGAGGGGCAGAGCAATTGAATTTGGCACTGAGGATTTCATAGTTTGTAATGTGAACTGGAAACCTGCAGCGGGATGAAAGGACCGGCTTGGAGCACAGCAAGATTGACACAGTTATGCAAGTAAAGAGTTTGCACATGAATAGCCCTCCACACAGACCTCAGTTATTGGCCAGCAAGGGCCTAGGGCAGCATTGAAGGGAATAGTGAATGCTGTGAATAAGATCAGAGGCGGGCAGTGAGGTACACCTTTTCATCTTAATGTGCAAAAAGATGCTCATGTGAGCAAGATTTTGTGCCCCACACAGCTCAACACACTGAAGCGTACTGGCTGTCACAAGGAAGGTGCTAATGCAAGTTTTTGAAAGAAGGGATGACATTTTAAAACAAATGTTGACACTGATAAGGCCAGTAGTGATTCTTTACACCAGTGGTTCTCAACCTTGGCTGCACATTAGAATCACCTTGGAATCTTGTTAAAATCCTGATTTCTGGGCCTCATCATTAGTAACAAAGAAACAGAATTTCCCTCCGGTGATTCTAATGTGCAGCCAAGGTTGAGAACCACTGCTTTACACGAGTTCCAGTGGTTTGCTGAGTGCTATGTCTCAGGAATATCTATGGATATAAGGAGTCTTCGGTATTGAATTAAGGTGCAGACCGCCTGATTGCCAAGAATTGGACTCTTTAAGCGTAGAAGATAAAGCTCCACATGTGTCAGAGGATGTGTTTAAGGTCCACACCCAGATGCAACCATCAGGCATGAAGATATGGTTTCCAGTGCTTGATGCACTAAAATAGGGCAGGGGAGCCATCGCTGTTCTCTCCCGTCTTAAGACATCAGCCTCCAGCTCTGGTGCACATGCTGTCCAGTGGAACGCTGAACAGCTGTGCAAGGCGGTCCCCGGGGAAAGTGCCCCATCATTTGTGGGTCCAGGATAGAGCAGCAGATCCAGAATCTCCAGCAAACACTTGCGGTCATTGCTGCAAACCCATAATTGTGATTTGGGATTTTCTAATTTAGCACAAAGAATAAAAAAGGAAACTCGCTTGATGTGGAATCAGATCTCCAACTCAGTCTCTCCATTTTGGAGCCCGCTATAGACGCATTGGTAAAACACTGCAAACAATGGCATTCTTCCAGCTGATCTAGAAATGGATTGTTGTTAGTATTCATTTAAAGAATATTCTTAACAGCGTTTTTTAGTGTTTTTACCTAGAACTGGTATCCTGCATAGACATCAAGTACGTGTTGAGTTACCTGCAATTACCTAATAATTGGTGACAGGTTTTGTAGAAACTGAACAGAGCTAGTGAACATGAACAGTTTCCTCAGCAAAACCAACAAACACAAAAACCACAACTTTGAAGTAAAGGAGGGATGGCATCTTAACTAACTGGATTTTTCAGGGGATGATACATGTTATTTGCTGTGTGTGTGTGTGTGTGTGTGTGTGTGTGTGTGTAAGAAAATGGTTGAAAACACTGGATGAATATCACGACAATGATAATAATATTCATAAACATTAGCTGAGCCTCTACTATGCATGAGGCACTGTGCTACTTAGCCATCTCCTTGGGTTCTTCCAACAACCATATTACATAGATCCTTTTACTATACTTTACGAAAGAGACGACTAACACACAAAGATTAAAGTGGTTTTCTTAGCCGTATAGAGCCAGTAAGGAGCAGAACCAAGACATGAACCAGGGCCCAGGTTTTCATGTGGATTCACCATTGCCTTGTTGCGTGACCAACAATTGTGCAAAACTAACAACTAAAGGAGTAGCTACATGCTTTCTGCTATGTCCAAGGCACAGTGCCAGGCATCGGGGTGCTAGGATGACAAAGACTGCACTTCCTTTGGCATCTTAAAGCTGAGGATAGGGGCTTCTCAAGTGACAGGACAGGGCAGACAGTGTGACAAGCGCTGTGATAGATTGAGCCTGGTGTCGTTGGTCACAGAGAAGACAGCCTCCCACTCCAGCCTGTGAGGTCAGGGAAGGTTTTTCAGAACTTCTCTATCTAATGATAGATCTTTCATGCCTAGAAGATATTTGTGGTGACCCTAATTTTATGCTTAAACCAATAGAACACACTGTTTGGGTGGTGAGGGAAGGCGGTTGAGAAGTATTCTTTGTGGCTTAGGGAACCCAGCCCAGGTTTAAAAAAAAAATCTCTCCCCAGATAACCCATGAAATAGCTAAGGAGCACAAGGCCATCCCCATTTTCCAACGTGCGAGACTCCGTGGTGGAGATTGGAACAGGGGCCTGGCTTGGGATTTGGGCTGCTTCTTTGCTCCTGGGTGTGCAGACAGGAGAGAGCCTCGGTGGCTCTTTGGAAATCAGTGCAATGCCCTGGCCATCTTCAGGATTGATTGCAAGGCACCATCCTGCTATGCTGACACCTCTTAAAAGCAACAAACATTTCCCAGTATTAATTGCCCCGGTGAAGGCAGAAGTCTGAGGACTCCTTCATGCTGTGATAGGGCCCAGCTGGTCTCCAGGGAGGGAGGGAGGGACAGCTGCCACACACTTTGCAGAGACCTCCCAGGACAGAGTGGGAACGGGCTGTGATCCCCTGAGCATCTACTGTGTGTCACACACCGTGCCAGTCACTTGCCATCACATGTCATTCTTACACGCACTCTAAGGAGTAAGTATAATTACCTCCATTTTAACCAGTGAGAAAATGAAGCATCAGCATCTAGAATAGCACCTTCCAGTGGATTTTTTTGCAATGATGGAAATCTCTTCTGTGCTGTCCAACACAGTAACCACTAGCTACATCCAGCTACTAAGGACTCGAAACATAGCGACTATGACTGAGCCAGAGCATTTTCAGTTATTTTGCATGTTCATTGGTTTACATTGTCCAAGATAGAAGGATCAGACAGAGAGATCCAGTGACTTGTTGGAGATCACACAGCCAGTTTGGACCATGGGGATCAAAACCCAAGATTTCTATTTCTCAGAGGATGGGAATTTTTTTTTTTAAATCAGCAGTTCATTGAATCTTTCTGTTTTTATTCCTCCAGTTCATTGAATCTCTTCGTTACTATTCCTCTCTTTTCTCCTAGGTCCAATTCCAAGAGCATTGCTCATTTTCTTTCCATCCTAACCTCTGCAGAATCATCCTCAGGTGGTGAAAACAATTCCTAAAATAAACAAGAGGAGGCATTTTTATTTCCTAGAAGCATAGTTAGTTCCACAGGCCTAGGCATTCTTGATGCCAGCAGACAACACACCTATGGAGAAGGCAAAATTTTCTGATAAAAGGAAAACCCAGCTTGAGCATGTGAAGGGGAAAAAAAAATCTTGACCTTTAAGAGCATTGAGAAAGTGGGGAGAGGGTGGACACGGGGCATAGTGAAGACAGCATTTATATATTAGAAATGCCAAAATGTTCTTTAAATCCATCGTTTTAAAGTGGCAATGACATTTTCTGGACACAGTGCAGCAAGGTCTGTTCATTCATTTGTTCGTTCATTCATCCATATCTTACTCCCATCTGACTTGCTGACTTAGCTGATTGAGATCTCAGAGAATGTGTTTGAAACAGAAATTTTGTTGTCATCAGAAACAAAAAAATAAGGCAAATGGCATGGGATCCGACAGATGTACACCTTTTAAGCATCTCATCTTGATGATGAAAAAACAGAGACTTACACAGGGAAAGGGACTTTCCTGAGGCCTGGGTTGCAGGGGACTTTGCCACATCCACATCCTGTTGTAGTTTTGAAGCTGATGAGATCCCTTTCTCTCCTATGTGTTCTGCAGAGGCCAAGGTGAAGAATGCGATGACATGAATAAGATCAATGGTGATGGCTGCTCCCTGTTCTGCCGACAGGAAGTTTCCTTCAATTGCATTGGTAAGTCTTTGTCATTTCCCTGGGCCTGGCTAGGGACGAACAGTGAGGAATCCTTGACCAGTTACAATAACAGCAATAGTTGTGACTGAATGAAGTTTCACTCCCTTATATTGCAAATATGTATTGTGTGCCTCCTATGGGCCAGGCACTGTTTTAGGCACCAGGAAATACAGCAATGGAAACAAAGGGCAAGTACATCCCTGCCCTGGGTAGCGTAAGTTCTCATAGAGGACAGAGGTGACTGGGAACTCTGTTGACCTCACTTCACCTTACACACAGCATTGCTCTTCTTCACACCAGCTGTCCAGGATGGTTAGTTAGTATAGATTTTTAAGGCTTTTATTCCTACTGTAGAGATGAGAAACATCAAAAGCCAGAGAGATTATAAACCTTGCCCAGAATCGTACAGGTCGGGAGTGATTTGAGACAAAACCAGGACTTGGACCTCATTTTGTCTGATTATTAGGCATGTGCTCAGTCCATTTGGCTACACAACCTCCCTCTAGGATCCAGGGACCACCAGCCCCCTTCCCCCCCACCCTCTCCCCCCAGCGCATTCCCAACCTTGGGCATTTTTCTGACTCAAGGAAGAGGGAACAGCAGACCAGCCTGTGTTTAGAAAGCAAAGGTCCTTTTCCCACCTTCCCTAGGCCTCCTCTTGGAGTCTGGCTGATCTTGTTGTTTCAGCCCCACTTGGGAGGCCCTGGCCAGCCCCGGGCTGGTAAACAGACAGGGGTTGGGGGGCAGGGATGGAATTTTGAGCTGGCCCAGATGAGATCATACTTCCTTTAAGATGCAAATCGATACCTGAAGATCAAAGGTCCCCAGGCTAATCCCCTGGGCTGGAGGTGAAAACTAATCACAAATCATTTGCAAGTACAAAAGACAGAGGTGCTCTATCTGAGGAGGGCAGGGGCAGCTGTTGGGGGAATGGAAACAGTGCTGGGAAGATTTCTCACTGAAAGGCAATTTTCTAGGAAAGGGGAGGAAATGTCTTGGGGTCCTCACAGTTGCAGTGCATTCCCGTGCATTTCGACCTTCTCCTGGTAAATTGTGAGCTCCCTGAGGTAAATAATATAAGTTACCTTTTATTCCAGTCGCAGCACACATTTATTGAGCACCTACTATCTCCTTGGCACCAAGTAGGGGCCCAGCAGCACCATAGGGGGGTCCCACTACTGCTGTGGATAGAAGGAAGGAAAGATGTGGAGGGAGGGAGGACAGGAGAGTTTCTAGGCAAGACCTTGGGTTTTTAAATGGCAGAAGGTGGTTTGTTTTTTTCCTTCTCCTCCATTGGTTTCAGTTTGTCGGTCTGTATAAAAGCCTGATGTTAGCCGAGTGGTGGGGTGGAAAGAGCCTTGGACTAAAATGAAGAAAACCAGGCTCTGGTCCTAGCTGTGGTGAGAACTTGCTGGATAATGCTGACCAAATTGCTTCCTTAGCTTGGGCCTCAGTTTACCTTCTGTAACTTGAAAGGATTGAGTGAGGTGGTTTTTAAGAGCCTTGACTGCTCTTCTGTTGTGTGATTTTTCAAGGTGTGTGATTATTATTTCTCATAGTCACAAGCTCTACCCTAACCAAACCCTCACCTTTGCTGTCATCCTCAGGACACCCAACATGACTCTCAGATCATGCTGGGAAGTAGCTACCTATTTTACTTGCACTAAGTTGGCATGTGATTCAAGTGCTTCTGGGAGAAAGGTAGGATGTGGGAAGGTAGGATATGGTACCCAAAGGGATGCTTGGGTTCTGACATCCATGTTCTATGTTGCTTGAGCACTAGGCAACCATAAACAAAAATAAGTAGCCCTTACAGGAGAAGCTTCTTGTCCATGGAAAGGGTCTGCACAATACCTTCCATGGGCCAAAGTCGGCCCACTGCTTACATGTGTAAATAAAGCCTTACTGGAACACAGCACACCCTTCCTTTACATATTGTCTGCTGTGCTTTCCTGCTACAGCAGCAGAATTTGGTGGTTGCAACAGAGACCTATGGGCCAAAAGGCCTACACTATTTACTATCCAGCCCTTTACAGACCACATCTGCTGACCCCTGGTCTATGGATTTGGAGTCTTTGATGCTCTTGGTGGTGGGAGTCTGGTGCAGAGAGGAAGTGAAAATTAGGACATGGTTCATCATTTCTCAGAAAAAGAACCGAATTGTAAGCATACAGTGGTGGGGCCTGGGAACCTCTGTTAGAAATAGCACTGGACAGCGAGTCCAGCCCCAGCTTGCCATACCTCCTTGGGCCTCACTTCCCCGTCTATACTTTGGATAAAATAGCTGGTGTGGACTAGATCAATGATTTGCACATGGCGTTAACGGAAATGCTTCAGAGGAAAGGCGTGATGATGAGAAAGTTTGTAAGAGAATGAGATTTGGACCCTAATAGATCCATTTTTATACTGACATTTTCTACTAGATTCCGCCTATTGTGCTGCTGATGGATGATATTTATTGAACATCTATAATAATAAAAGCATAATATGCTAATTAGACTGGACGTCCTTCTGAACGAAGCCGGGGCTGTGAGGGAAGCCCGGGTCCAGGTGACTGCCGGCGGCCAGAGGGAAGCCTGGGTCCTGAGTGCTGGAGGGAAGCCCGGGTCCCGGGTGCCAGAGGGAAGCTGGTGCCGGCAGCCAGGAGAAGGAAGGCCTACTCTTACACGAATTTTGTGCATCAGGCCTCTAGTCTATTATATATCAAGCATATTTATAAACTGACTCTCATAACAATTCCATTAGTGTCCTGCTTTTACAAAAGAGGAAGTTGAGGCATGGGGAAGTGAACTAAGGAGAGGCAGTTAAATGGTAGAACTGGGGACTCAAACCCAGAGGGCCTGACTTCAGAGCTCATGGTGGTAAACTACTTGCAAAACAGTAGCTCTTGGTGTTGTGGGGCTCCCGGGGTGAATGGGGAACATAGTGCTGCAGGACAATTCATGGGGTACATAACAGAAGGGCATACAAAACTGTTGGGTGTGGGTGGTGTCCAGGGAAGGTTCCCTGTTGCCCCTGTATGTTGAGTGTGGCTTGTGCTACAAGAAAGACCTCCACTATGGCCCCCGCCCTCACCATTTACTATTAGAGAAACTCACAGAGACACAGGGCATCCCAAGAAGAAAAGGGATCTATCTACCCAGAGATCTCAGCTCCCAGGAACTATATTCCAAGGACAAACTCCACAGCTTTAATCTAGAAAACCATCTTCCTCTAAGAAAAGCTGCGCAAGAATCAATATGCATCTTTGGCTCCCCAGAGATCCAGCTCTAATGAGTCAGAGAAAGGGGGCTGGAGCGTGGGAGGCTTTGCCAAGGTGGACATTGTTCGCATCATTACATTTGTCAAGACAGTGGTCAAGATAGTGGCCCACAGAACCGGCTTGAGTGAGACTGGCTTGGTTCATACCATAGTTTAGACATGGGGCCTTGGCTAAGCTTCAATGTTCTCATCCAGAAAATGGTAAAAATCCTGGGACTCAACTGTGGCAGTTATTTACCAATTTGTAGATAGTTCTTATTTGACTCCCTTCCCTAGGTTTAGAAAAGAACTCTTTGTTGTAATGATAATGAGGCAGAGTCCAACCACCACGACCAAAGTTGAAAACACAAGCATCTCCCAGCCCCCCTTGTAGCTGAGTGTGGGCACAAGACTTGCACTCTCCTCCTGACCCCCAATCAGACACCAACCCAAGACTTTGAATCAGAAGACAGAGTGACCCAACAGAAACCATTTTGATAAAAGATGGTGGCAGTGGCCACACCCCCTGCATTTCCAAAGTACCAACGACAGCATCCAGCATTAGGGCTGAAGGTTCTGTGTGTAACAGCAGCTCTGAGATGTCTTCGCAAGACCAGTCATTGGACCTAATCTTGAGCTTGGAATTGGGCTTCAGAGCCTGCAAAGCCAGCTCTCCAGCCCTCCCAGAGAGTCTTCCATAAGTATCCAATGTTCTCTGAATAGAGTTTGCTTGTTTGCTTGTTTTGCTTAAGTTAGCCAAGTTGGTTTCTGTTGTCACTTAGAATCCTGACCAAAAATTGTTGTCATAAGATACTGTGAGTTTTAGCCCTATTCTTAGCAAGTTAGACCTGCTTGATGCACATTAACTATTACTTTTCTCAGTGTGTGTGTGGAGGGGGGAGGGGGGAGCTGGGGAGTATGTTTGTGTGTATCAGCAACAACCACTATTTATCGATACCCATGAGGTGTCATGCACCTTTGTATAATGTGAACCGATGTGAGGTCTCTGGTATCCAGATGTGGGATCTTAGACCTACAGTGATGCCTTAACTTGCCCGAGGTCACACAGCTCATAGAGAAGGGGATCCTCTCTCCAGATGAAGTGGAGAGCCTTTGCTTTTTCTACTCTGTACTCTGCCTCCCCATCTGAGGGACTTCCTTCCTTCTCTCCTTTTTCTATTTTTTGGCACTGACCATTTAGTAGGCGAATGTTTTCCCTGGGTTTGGTACCACCCCCACCCATGTGAGGGGGTGTCAGACTTATGGTGGTGTTTGCATTCACTTTTCAGAAGCCCACACATCCAGGAGTATTCCCAGGGTGCCAATATGTTATTAAGCAACAGCATGGCACATCCCTGTCCCACTTTCCCACCCCCAGGACCCTCGTCCCCCTTGCAACATGGCAAGTTGCTTGTTAAGAGGAATACCACCCACAAGACGTCTTGGGCAATGCATGCTATATCCCGGCAATGTGGAAACTATCTCGTCTCCCCCCTTCCTTTAAAATATAACATACACCAGGCCTGAGATGTCAGTTAAAAAATGTGGTATCAGTAAAATGATAACGCCCCCCACCCAGCAGGCACTGGCTGGAGGCATTGTTCGGCAGCGTGGGGATTCTGTCTCTAAGCACTGAGTCATGAGTTACAGACAGGCTACTGATAGCAGCTGGAGGAGGGAAGGCAGTGGTCAAATTAGTGGGACAAAATGAGAAGCATCACCAAAGGGGTTACACTTAGTAACGTATCTCGAGCCATTGC